CCTGGCAGAGCACATGATTGTCGTTCATCAGCTCTCCGACCCTCTTCCAGTCTCCTTCCTCCAGCTTGCTCTCGCCCTCCTCCACCAGCTTCAGGTAGCGCTGGAGCAGCGCATCAAACCACTGCGGCTCCTCCTCTTTCTTCTTCCTCACGTCCCCAACCACCTTTGACGTGCTCGCAGTAATCCCCGTGCTCGCGTACACGATCTCCACCTTCACTTTGAGGGTCTTGGGCAGGAAGGTAGACCCCTCCTCAGTCCTCTGGAACTTGAGGATACCACCGTAGGTCGCCGCAGTGTTGTCGATACCCGAGGGGGTACCGTGGTATCCCTTCTCTCCCTCATATCCTGCCTGGTTGATCTCCTCCTCTGTCAACTTCTTTCCCTGTGCGTGTGCAACCGCGCGGGCAAGGGCGACACAGGCAGCAGCAGAGGCACCGATGCCGGATACGGCAGTCAGGTCTCCTCCAAAGACGATGTCAACTTGTTGCTTGCTAGTGTCTACTCCCAGGTGAGAGAGGACGAGGCCCACAGCCTGATCGTGCTCCTCCTTCTTCTCGTCCTTGTACCCAGGGACAGCAGGACGGTTGTCCTGCTGATTCACGCCGCTTCCACCCTCCGTGAGCGTGACGCTGCAGTCGGTAAAGTCCGAGACGGCAGCCACAAGTGCTGGGACCTTGTAGACGACGAAGTGCTCGCCGAAGAGGATCAGCTTGCCGTATCCGCGATGTGATGACATAGCGCTTGTTCCTGCGCAACACCGACAGACGTCAGCCCCGGTCGCCACGCGTCCCTCGTGCTCAGCCTCAGTAGACTCTGATGAGGTCATTCAGCACATGATCATTTCTACATGTCTGTCCTCGTCACTGAGCACCTGTCCTTTCATTGATACACTTCTATGCGACCTAACTTTGACCTGCCGCCTAGTGGCGGACTTCTATCCTGCCATATCGTTGCTCAGTCAATTCCTCCTCCTGTTCGAGCCCGCCTATTTCTTCCCTCCCGCTGCCTGCTGCCTGCTGCCTGCTGCCTGCTGCCTGCTGCCTGCTGCCTGCTGCCTGCTTCCTGCTTCCTGCTGCCTGCTTCCTGCTTCCTGCTTCCTGCTTCCTGCTTCCTGCTGTTCCTCCTCCCATTCTCTCCGCTTCCCCCCTTCTCCCCTCCTCGCTTCCTCGCCCGCTTGTCCCCCGCCCTTTTATATGTCTTGTATCACCACCCCTTCAAATCAGGGTCTTAGTAGGGGTACATGTTGGTGTTCCACGGGTGGTCTTTGAACACAAATCGAGCCTGCCTCAGGGGCTACACGTCCGTGTGAACAAACCGGCGGCTCCTCTCAGAAAGCATCCGGGCTGCACCATGCCAGCCAGCCAGCTGGAAGAAATTCTTATTTTGACTATAGATGGAACAATCCCGAGATTCGGCGCTTGTGAGTACCCTGAATACCCTCAAATTACCAGTAAATCGAAGGGTACAATAATTGCTCCGTGTCTATAGTCAAGTAGAGATAGATCGAAGAATGGATGGTTCAGGGGTGGGTGGTAATGAAGGAGTCGTTACGGGAGATGGTGGGGTGGGGTGGTTGGATTCGAGAATCTCATCTCGAGCGTATCTTGTGCCCCAACGGGGTGTGTTACGTACCGCATAGCTTGTACTGGGGTAGGGTAGTATGCACTGAGGGCTTTACAAAGGGGGTACAATATAGGAATATAAGGGGTAGGGGTAGATGACTGTGGGGTAGCACACATGGAGATGTGAAATTCCATCGGTAACGATGGGTGGGGGTGGTAGAAACCAGGGGTGGATGCAGTGAAACCGGGGGAGTCTATTTTTCTGTAAGGGGGTTCGAAGGAAGATTGCGGCTTGTGGCGAAAATGGCAAGGGAATGGGAATGGCGAAACGATGCGGACGGGGACGAAGGGATGATGCAGGTGGTGATGCCGATAGAGCAGAATGTGAAGAGTAAGGATGTAGAGTTCAAGCTTACACCAACCAGGATGACCTTAGGGCTCAAGGGAGAAGCACCAGCTTTGGATGACGAGTTTTGGGGGGGGTTGAAAGTTATAGTAGAGGAGAGCGGATGGCAGATTGAGCGCGACGACAAGATGGGAAGGAGCATCATCGTATCTCTCAAGAAAGCTAAGTCGTGGGAAGAATGGGCATACCTTCTCAAGAGCATGGACACTCCTGCCGATACAACCGTTACTCAACGATGCTTCTTTGATGTCACCATCGGAGGAGAGCCGGCAGGAAGAATCGTTATGGGATTGTACGGACAGCAAGTTCCGAAGACTGTGAATAATTTTAAGTGCTTGTGTACTGGTACAGCGATGACAGTGCTGGTCTGCACCTGTGGATTCTGACTATATGTTTCACTCCAGGAGAGAGTGGTGTAGGCAAGAGCGGGAAGCAACTGCACTACAAGGGCTCTACCTTCCATCGCGTCATCCCCAAGTTCATGTGTCAGGTGGATCTCTCTTCCTCTTCCCCTACGATTTGGTTGGACTCACGAGATCTGGCTGTAGGGAGGAGACTTCACCAATCACGATGGGACAGGTGAGTCGCTGCGTGTCAGGATCGTTCGTGGTTTGATCGTGTATGCAGGAGGAGAGTCGATCTACGGCGAGAAGTTCAACGACGAAAACTTCAAGATCAAGCACAGCAAGCATGGCTTGCTCTCCATGGCCAATGCAGGGAAGAACACCAACGGGTCGCAGTTCTTCATCACCACTGCTCCAGCCAGTCATCTTGATGAAAAACATGTTGTGTTCGGGGAGGTACTTGAGGGATATGACGTCGTCAAGAAGATCGAAGCGGTATCTTTCTCCGCCACCTCCTCCATCACTTGCGTTTGACCTGAATTGGCAGGTTGGAGACTCTTCGGGCAAACCCAGCAAGGAAATTGTGATCCAAGATTGTGGTATCATTGACTGAGTGTTCATTTTGTTTTCTACATCATGAGGAGATAAATGAATACATATGAAATTGAGGGAACAAGCGTTGTCACGCAGACGAATCCATGGGTCCAAATCATGAGAAAGTTGAAGCAACAAAACTCGGCCAGTTTACTGATCGAAAGCACAACCGCTGATGGATTAGGGAAGCTGCATTCACAACGATTTCACATGAACATCATTGCCGGGCTTTCAATCGCCTCCTGCAATCAGACATCACTATAGGCGAGAACTCACATCCTACACCCTCACCTTGAAGATTGAGCAAAGCTTCTCCGCAAGCGCTCCATCCACCACTCGCCCATCGTGGGTCAGGCTGACCTTCATGACATTCTTGGTCTTCAGTCCTATTGCAACTTTGTCACCGGGAGGTGGAACACAGCCTTGTCTTCACCTCCTTTCTCAGATGGCACAAGCTTCGGTGTGGTGCTCCCAACGGCAAAAATAGTGGACTGAGGCAGACAATGAGGGATTCACCATGAGAATCATTGTGAGCACCTGAGGAGGATTCAACACAGCGATGAACTCTGTGATGTCATACATCCCCAGATTCGACACCTGAGGGAGGAGTCAGAAGAATGCTTGATGAGACGAGCCGTGGCTCACAGAAGTGCATCCTCCGGTGAACTCTTCGGGCATGAGCTTGTTCCCCCGGGCCCTCGCCTGCAGCCAACAACGATCACTGAACAGCAATTGAACTCCACTTGCTGGAATTCACCGCCATGTCCTTGGCTTCAGCAGAGACCTGCGGAGCCGTGAGTTTCCATAGCAAGGATGGGGCAGTTGATCTCGACCTTCAATATCGGCTTCTTGTCTGCATCTCGGATGACTGGGGTGATGAGCCCAGCTGGAGTGGCAGCTGAGAAGGAGTCAGAAGGTCTTCACCATCGAAATAGAGGCTTTACACACCAGCAAAAGAAACATCGACGCTCTGGTTGAACTTGATGCTGTCTTCAGTCCAATACCTGTTCCCATTTCTGTCGGGCGGAGAAAAGGACCAAGAAAGCAGACTTACGCGTTAGCCTCGGGGACGCTTCTCAGGGCGCTCGCAACAGCTTTGATCACGAAATCGTTGACAGAAACCTGCACATGCATCAACAAAACCCTAACAACTGCTCCTCTGCCCCTACTTTCGAGCCATTCTTGTCATTAAATTTCTTGCGCAGCTCCAGCAAGTTGTCCATCTCCACCTCCACCGTCCTGCATGAATACTTCACAATCCTTGTTCTTGCTCCACACTCGACCGCCTACATGTACGAGTGTGGAAGGTTGAGCTTGGATTCGAGCAGCCTCTTTGCAATGATCTTTCGCATCTGTGTACCGTTAGATAATCTCACAAACCTCGCAGCCAAGTCACATGCCTGAGACACTGGGACATCCTCATGCGTTCTGTGCGTTTTGAATACAAGGCTGCGCCGAACAGGAGTGGAATCTACAGGTTTCTCCTCCTTCACGGCAGCTTCAGCCGCTGGTGCAGGCTTCGAGGGAGAGGGTGCTGCTTGAGGGGTAGGGGATGGAGGAGGGGGAGCCGCTGGCTGAGCACTCCTCAAAGGCGCTAGGGAGGAGTATGGAACAAGTCCCAAGGCAGCAAGAACATCAGCCTGAAAGTACAGCAAGACATCAGAAATTTATCCTGTGAAGCATAAGGAGTCGACCTTGGTAATGATCGGATGGCCAGCAGGGGAGCGGGATGCAGCCTTCGAGGACAGCTCATTGATTGAGAGTGAGGGGTTGTTCTTGAGCAGAAACCCAGCTGCAGGTGAGATCACCACCCCTGGTGGGGCAGCAACCGCGGAGAAAAGTCGGCATGGAAGTTGCCCGACCACTTTTTTGCGCCACATCACCTGCACGTGAAACCAGATCAGAAGGATTGCAAGTATCAGGTGTTCTAGCAAATAGCCAGCATGTGCTGTTACAGTTTTCAACTTCACTCTTCACATAAATGCTGACAATGTAAGCAGATTTGATGGATTCTTAGAGAGTATGACAGGGATCTCGGGCTGCAATCTCGTTTTCTCATGCGAATTCTCCGTAACCAAATTAATACCACTATCGTTATTTCATTTCCATTTCCTTCTTATCCCGTAAAATCGACATCTGCAGTTGTTCTCCACTTCCAGAACTTCTCGTGTCTGCTTTCTGCAAACCTCGCTCGATCAATGATTCTATTTTCATTGTACCTGCTGCTCCTGTATCTACACGTGTATCTACATGTAAACCTGCATGTATACCTGCATCGCCTGCTCCTGCCTTCCTCCCTCTCATCCTTGTCCCCATATTTTCCTCTCCTCACATTCCCTCTCTCGCTACTGCCTTGCGACATATCACATACTACCCCCACAAATACACCACCCCATCACCCTACCTACCCACCAGTGATATTCATCTCAAATTTCCTAATTGTACCCCATAGAAATACCTTTAGAATTAGGGGTACTAAGAACACTTACCCTACCTTGAAGTTCTAGAGTACCCCTGCTTTCCATGTACGACTACACCCCTACCCATGGTTTATCACTCAAGCACACTTACCCCTCGAATAACAGCCTAAAGAGGGGGTAGACAATGGACACAGCTTGCGCCTCATCCCCTCACACTGCCGACCGCGCCGGACGGTCCGCCGGTGGCGGATTCCGAGTTCTGGTCTGGTCGCCGGACTAGGCTGGCCCGGGCTGCCGGGCTGCCGGGCCGTGATCGGAGGCTGATTGATGAGTGCGGCATGGCGCGGCCCGGCCTAGGCCCGTCACTGAGTCACAACCCACGGCGGGCCGGGCCGCGGCGCCGCGTGCGCAGGATCCGCCGCACTGACTCGGGACTCGTCGGAGTCGGAGCCTCGGCGGAGCCCGCCAGTGAGGTGCCAATCACGGGTCAGATGACTGGTGATCATTTTTCTGAAATTTATTGAAAACTGACAGTAACTGTAAACACTGAAAGATGTCAAATAGCAGTCTGGGCAAAATAACTAGTACATTAAAAAAATATTGATAGCAGCAACAAAAATTGTGCCGGCCGCCACAGTTCAACAAACGCCGTCAACCGTTGAACCGTGACCGTACGCCGGTCACCGGGTTCGACTCTCGCCGTCTGACGGTAACTGTTGGTCAGAAAACGGCCGCTGATTGAGATTTAAAGTAATGAAGAATCCTTGATGAGGAATCCTTGTCTCCTCATTGCAGTTCACACGTGAAATTCAGTCCCGGAGATGATCAAATCCTTCGACTGTTTAAGCCTTGCCGGCCTCGATCTTGCTGCTCTGCTGTGCTGCCTGCGCGTGCTCCAGCACGTACGGATTCGTCTCGTCTACCTTCAGCCCTGACAGCGTGTGGTTCACGTCCCGATGGCATGCCTCGTCCGCTCGCACCGCCAGCATCAAGTCTCTCATGGTCGCCTCCGGCTTGAGGTGCCAGTAGTCGATGGCGATCTGAGGGGCGGCCTGCGTCTTCCAGTGTCCCAGGCGCCCGTCGTCGATCGCGTTGATGATGTCCGTGTAGGTCTTCACCGCCTCCTCCTCGAGGTACCCCACGAACCGATGGCAGAACCGCGGGCTCACCAGGTAGCACAGGAAGAAGACGTTCATGAACACTCCCTGCGTCCCTACGACCGCTGCGCGGAAGAGAGGCCCCGGCCTGCGGAGCTTGACAAACGTCAGCAAGTGCATGCGCTCGTTCTCCGCCTCCTCCAGCAGCGTGTGGATCCACCCGTGATCACGGTCCATGATGCGCAGGGAGCGCAGGTGACGAAGCATGCCCGCCGTCATGCCGGGCACTCCCGCGACGGTCTCGAGGAAGCAGATGCGGTTGATGACCTTGCCCTCCGTGAGGTTGCCGAAGCGATACCCAGAGAAAGTGTCGAAAGACCACCGCGCTGCCTTCACCGCAGCAAGCGCCACACGGTCGACCATGTCCTCGGGTTTCTTGTGGGTCTTCTTGATGCTGTTGACCTCCTCCTCGGTCCAGACGGAGTGCTGCATGGGGTTGGCCCAGACCTCCTTGTCGGACACGGCCACCTTGGAGACGCCGAGGGGATGGACGTTGGTAGAGGTCTTGAAGTGGACCATGTCATGGACGATGGTGGGGTCTTCCCTGGGGGGACCTCCACGGGCGGAGGCGAGGAGGCGCTTGAAGGCGAGGGTGTTGATAGCGGAGGCAGAGGAGGAGGAGGCGACAAGAGAGCGGATGGGGAGGGCGGAGAGCCTCGTCGCAGAACGAAGGAGGGGGAGCATGGTCGAGTGAAGCGTTGGTTTTCTTTCTCGCAACTTTTACTTGCTCCGACAGGGGGGCGGGGGGACTAGGAGCATCATGGGTGGGTCCTTTTTGCACCGGTGTATTTCTCTGCCATATCCTCAGGCTAGTACCGGGTACTTTGTAGTATGCTGACCGAGATTAGGGTATCTCAGCCAAGAGAGCTTGGGATTTTTTTTTGGGATAAAGCCGGTCATGAAGTACCCCTGCTCTACCCCCTCAAAGTACCGGTGATGTGAAACCCTCCCGTCCAAGGGAAATAACACCCGTGGTGCATAAATACTTATCCAAGTTTTATTGTAGGGGTGATCAATACCACCGGTGTATCCTTAGACCCCTCAAATATCAAACAACTTTCCTCGATTCCCATGGTGGGTAGGACAAATGACCCCACCGTAATCGGGCTGACAGCTACACACCCTTGCCTTGCTGACCTCCACCCATCCTGGATTTGCTACCCAAGTATTTGAAGTAAAAAGGTAGGTAGGGGTATACCCCCTTGCCCTCAGGACGCAAGGAACGGACGCGAAACGTATCTGGTCAGTGACAATCACGTTACTATCACCGGTACCTTTCTGCTGTTTCGAATGGGTAGGGGTTACCACCCTGAGATTTCTCAGTGTTTGGGACTTCGGGGACGAGAACCCGACCTGGTGGTAGGAAATCCTGCGAAAACATTAGGGTAGGGTCAGAGACATAGGAGGGGTAGTGGGTAGGGTAGTGCTCGTGCAGTCGATCATAGCAGGTCACTGACAGGGATGCTGTATGAGTCAAAGAATCCTTGTTCAGGGGTAGGGTTCTCCGAAGTGGGTGGGGGTCATCAAATTTGTTATAGGACCAGTCATTATTCCAAATTGTGACGGAAATTCAAATGCTAGATTTTAGTTTTCGGGGGTATGTATCGATGGGGGTGGGTAAGCTTTTGTGGGGGTCTCCGAGTTGGACATGGAAAGTGCCTGTTTGGCTTTCCCATTGGGGGTGGTGTAATGAAGGGTAGGGTTCCCTATGTATTTAAAGGGTGGGGGTCAATGAGGTGGGTATCAGTGCCCTGACTCATTCCAATGTGAATGATGGAATAAAGGGGGTAGGGGTTATCAAAATAGGGTAGTGAAATTGATAAAGTATGGAGCAAAGGGTACATGTAGTGGGACTGGAAAATTGGATGGGTGGGGGTCGGGAAGTCGGTGTATTTATAACCCCTCCGACAACGTTTGTCTCACTGATAGAACATGCTCCCCCTCCTTCGTTCTGCGACGAGGCTCTCCGCCCTCCCCATCCGCTCTCTTGTCGCCTCCTCCTCCTCTGCCTCCGCTATCAACACCCTCGCCTTCAAGCGCCTCCTCGCCTCCGCCCGTGGAGGTCCCCCCAGGGAAGACCCCACCATCGTCCATGACATGGTCCACTTCAAGACCTCTACCAACGTCCATCCCCTCGGCGTCTCCAAGGTGGCCGTGTCCGACAAGGAGGTCTGGGCCAACCCCATGCAGCACTCCGTCTGGACCGAGGAGGAGGTCAACAGCATCAAGAAGACCCACAAGAAACCCGAGGACATGGTCGACCGTGTGGCGCTTGCTGCGGTGAAGGCAGCGCGGTGGTCTTTCGACACTTTCTCTGGGTATCGCTTCGGCAACCTCACGGAGGGCAAGGTCATCAACCGCATCTGCTTCCTCGAGACCGTCGCGGGAGTGCCCGGCATGACGGCGGGCATGCTTCGTCACCTGCGCTCCCTGCGCATCATGGACCGTGATCACGGGTGGATCCACACGCTGCTGGAGGAGGCGGAGAACGAGCGCATGCACTTGCTGACGTTTGTCAAGCTCCGCAGGCCGGGGCCTCTCTTCCGCGCAGCGGTCGTAGGGACGCAGGGAGTGTTCATGAACGTCTTCTTCCTGTGCTACCTGGTGAGCCCGCGGTTCTGCCATCGGTTCGTGGGGTACCTCGAGGAGGAGGCGGTGAAGACCTACACGGACATCATCAACGCGATCGACGACGGGCGCCTGGGACACTGGAAGACGCAGGCCGCCCCTCAGATCGCCATCGACTACTGGCACCTCAAGCCGGAGGCGACCATGAGAGACTTGATGCTGGCGGTGCGAGCGGACGAGGCATGCCATCGGGACGTGAACCACACGCTGTCAGGGCTGAAGGTAGACGAGACGAATCCGTACGTGCTGGAGCACGCGCAGGCAGCACAGCAGAGCAGCAAGATCGAGGCCGGCAAGGCTTAATTTTGCTACCTCCCGGCAGCCTGGTCGCGTAAGTGTCACAGTGAGTGAGGTCTGTGTGGTCTCAGTCGCAGTGTGCGGCACGATGTTGCCAATGGTGCACAAGGTTTGTTGAGATTTCATTCAGAATGAGTCGCTGTAATTCCTAGCTTGATGAATGTAAATAGCAAGTACTGAATAAAAGATCATTCCAGTGAATACTGTCGGATCGGACGGTCACGGCGCCGCTCGCCGCACTGCAGTTTCGCCTGCCCGGAGTCGGCGGGGATGCTACATTATCTCCGACATGGGCGTGAAGTTGTTTAAAGTTGATCGGGAAACCGTAACATAGAGAATTTTCCCTAGGCTTTAGACGTTCATCGGCGACAACCGAAGTTCTGGGTCCGATGAGCCGGGCCCGGCCGCTTGCCAGTGCCCAGGGCCGCCAGTTCCAAGTTCGGACCGGGACCCGGCGAAGTTTTTGGATGACCTGAGTTCGGTCGCAAGTTTGTGGAAGACATGGCGGGGCTCTTGGTGGTTCTTGACGAGGTGACGAGAGGCGATGGCGGGAAGGAGAGGCTGTTGTCATGTTGAGAGGGAGGCACATGCAGAGAAGTCTGGAGGGAGAGGAAGGAGAGGAGGAGAGGAGGAGAGGAGGAGAGGAGGAGAGGAGGAGAGGAAGATGGGGTGGTAAGGAACTAGGGTGAGTACTTGGGACATGAAACGTTCTTTTTTCCTTACAGGGGATCATAGCGATCTTCAGCAACGCCCCAGAAAGAGTCATGATGGGAATGTGTGTATGCAGGAGGTGATCTATGACTAAGAAATCCTCTATCGTGCTGGTCAGATCACTCCTTCCTGCTTGGCAGGTTTCACCGAGTGTTGCAGCACGTGAAAGAGATTCGGATCGACATCCCCAAGTTTGTGTGGGTGCTGGACAGCAAGTTCGGGTCCCAGCCAACAAGCAACAGCAGACTCCTCGCCAAACTTTTCGATCAGGATGGGAGGACGTTGAACGTTGGAGTCAAAGAACCTGTAAGCATGTCCAACCCCTCCCCTCAGCCCTCCCCTCCTCTCCTCCTCTGCCTTTGTGTGCACAGCTCATGCTCTGTCCCAGTGCAGCATTGCGCTCCTGCTCGTGCAACTTGCTGGACACCTGGACAAGATCAGGGTAGCAAGACTGAACGGTATGAGCACCTATCGCAAGAACGAGCTCCCTAGAGGGTACCCCAGCGAGATGGGATTGTCGAGGCGTAGAGGGAACAAAGGAGCAGAGGAGTCGCGATACGTCGACATGCTTGAGAGAAAGGGTGTGGAGTACAGGGAAGGAACCTCGTGGGATACCAGCCTCCTCCTCACTGTGAGTTCACCGTGCATGCTTTTCGTTTGATCTCAGTGCTCGATTGCAGTTTTTGGACCACAGCCATGAGCTGAGAGAGATTTACCTCTCCAGGAATGCTGCAATCATGAGCCGTCAGGATTTTGAGAATTTCTGCCTCCTCCTCCGACGCTGGCTCGTGCGAAAAAGCTGCGCTGAGCCTGGCCCGCTTCCTCATGCCCTGCATCGCCAAAGAAGTGTGTCTAACTTGCAAGTCCTCGACCTGTCCGACAACAGACTGGGAAGTGCCAGCATGTCCGACTTTGCACAGGCGATCATGGATGCATCCAAAGTGCAACCTTTGGCTCTGACCCAGCTGATGTTGAGAGGTGAGTAGGACATGCACGATGGGGAAGATGGGGAGAAGGGGGGGAGGAATTGAATTGAAAATGAGAGATCTCTAGGAAACAAGTGTGGAGATGCGGGAGCGATTTCTCTTTTGCCTGCACTCGAGGTTTTGCCCTGTTGGAAGGAAAGATGGAAGAGCTGAGAACTGTTCACTGAAGTTGCTTCCCTTGCTCGAGATCTTGGATCTTCGTCTCAACAGGTCCATCCTCCCCCTTCCCCTTTCTTCTTCTCCACTTGGCCTCCTTCCTTCCTTCCTTTCCCGCTTCCCCTTACTCTCTCCCTTCCTCTTCTTCTCGTATAAGTTCAAAGTTAAGTCAATGTTTCCTACATGCATGTTTCCTACTTGCCGTCTTGTTCATTTTCTTCTTACCCATGTGCGTATAGTTTTCAAACTATTTCTTTGTTCTCGCCCCGTCCTACTTCTTTCTTCCTCCCACTCTCCTTTTGCTCCATACAGATTGACGTTATTGCCAAAGATTGCGCTACGAGACCGGCAGCCTGATACTAGAGCATCTCTCCGGTTGCCATAACTTGAAGGTCAAGACCTTTTCCTGCTGATCAAAAGCTCACAAGCCCAACAGGAAGTGAACGGTATCCCTTTTTCTCTTCCACCAGGGACCCCGACAGTCACCTTGAAGCATGCTGAACTAGCAGAAGCTGCTATCCTTGACATGTTGCTTGCAACCCGCTGGAATATGCGAGTAGGGGAGGTGGAGGCGGTGGACCTACAGACATGTCACCTGGATGCGAACGGGCACGAAACCTTTCTTGCTCTCTTCGAAAGAACTACAGATATTACATCTCTCTCTCTCTCATCTCAACTCCCTCCTCATATCAGCAGCGACTGTGAAGATCCTGGTCTGTCTATCTCAGAGATTCTTTCGATGCCATCGTTGAAGCATCTCCGCAAACTGAGCATTGTAAGTTTGCGGCTCGGAGTTGCCGGAGCAGAGGCACTTTCCAAAGGCATTTCGAGGTGAGCGAGAGCAAGAAGCAGATCACAGCAGAGCAGAGGAGGGGATGGAGACAATAAAAAACAAAACAATCTTTTCCATCATGACATTCTGAAAGTGCATGCAGGTTGTCATTGCTGGAAGAATTGGATTTGTCAGACAATCAGATTGCTGATGGTATCGTGTTTATCACGGCGTCTCTTTTTTCCGCGAAGCTCTACGGAATCAAGTCGTTGACTCTTTCAGATAACAATTTGGGTTGCTACGAAATGTCTATGATTCGATTATTGTTGTCGGAAATTACAGCTTCACTTACGGTGACGACAAAACTTTTCGTACATTGATATCTTTTGAGCATCTTTGTCTTTCAGGCTTTAGATCTTTCTTCCAATTACCTCCTCGATCGAGATTGCTTCGAGACTCTGTCGAGTTGCTTTCTGAAGAAGAGCGATCATTGTTCACAACCTGTCACAATCATCGCAACAGCACTTCAAAGGCTGAACGTCTCACATCAGAGAAGTGATAGCGACTATAATAGCACGTCTGAGCCACTTGAAACTTTCCCGCTCAGCCACTTTCATCCTCTCTGTTGCGATGGGAACCTGTCCTCTTTATCGCTGCATGGGTGGAATCTGGATGACATCGCGTTGTTGGGATTGAGATGTGCAAGATCGTCAGGAGGTTCTGTGGGTGGAGATCAATCTGGAGCAGCTCGAGGGGTGTATGAAGATTTGGATATCCACTGTGAGGCAGGTGAGAAACTTTAGTCGTTGTGAACGGCGGCCAAGTGGTTGAGACTTCAGTGAACGAGCAGGGGACTTTGACAAGGTCGGTCGTATGCTCAGCCAGGAAATGCGTGTGAGGCACCTCAGAATAACAGGAGATGCTCTTCCGACGTCAAAGTCATGTTTGTGAGTGAATCGCTCCGTGCACCCTCGTATGTTTTCCTCATTTCTTAGCTCGTCCTCTTCAGGTTTCTTCCTGGTCTCGCTGTTGCTCTCCTGAGGCCACAAAGTTGTCCTCTACTCACACTTCATCTCAATGGGATCCAGCTGGGAGCGGCAGGATACGCGATGCTGCTCAAGAGCCTCGAAGAAGAAGAGCGATTGTGTGTTCAACACTCCGATGTAGACACAGGAAGATGCTCGTCGTCGTCATCAACCTCTCCCTCATCTTCTTGCACGGCTGTTGGATACTCTTTGAAGGAGCTCAACTTGAGCAATACTTGTATCGACAAGAGGTGCGCTAAAGTGGTCGCAGAAATCATCCAGAGGTTCTCGTTTCTCGAGGAACTGATTCTCACAGGTAATGACAGTGCTGTTTTATTCCCTTCTACTCTCATCATCACTTGCTCATGTTTGCTTGCTTCACCCATCTTAACATTCCATAATCCTATCGCTCCCTTCACGCGTTATCTCCTCTCACCTCGTCCTCCAGACAACAAGTTCGGGTGCGTCGGAGCCTTTGATATTCTGCAAGCCGCCAAGTCGCTGGAGCGATTGGAGCTTGTAGACATGAGAGGGAGTGTCAGCGAGGACGATAGCACGTGGGATTCACGACTCGTTCCTCTTTTTCCCTCCAGCTGACATTCGGGAGCAGGTGGAAGTTGCGGTCAACGACTTCATGTCGCATCTTGTATTCTACAATGGACCATCGTCTCTAAGAGACGCTCTGGATCCATGATTCTCTATCCTCCGCCCTCTCCCCCCACTCCCTCTCCCTGCTTTTCCTCCCCGCCCCATTATTCTTCTAAGGAACTCTCGATCTTGCCGACCATCTCCTCTCGTTGTCCGCGTGCATCTTTGTCCAGTCTGCATGCAGCTGGACTTGAGCTGACGCCGAGGAGTGCTCTGTATCCGGAGACTGCAGCCCATCGAGCACCTTCCTGGACGAAGTTCGCTGCCTGGCCGTCTCGTCCACCTGCATCATCAGCAGGTTGAACTGGAAGGTGTCATCTTCAGAGGCCGCGTGCTTGCTGCACCCTCCGAAGATGTACAGGGCCGCAGACTCCCCGTGCATGATGCAAGAATGGCCCCACCTCCCAGCAGGGGCCTCACCTGGGCCATGGGCGAACTTCCAGGAGGATCCAAAGAGGTTGTAAAGGAAGACGTCGTTGAAGAACTGATCACCTGCCCCTCCGAACACGATCATCGTATCCATCCCCTGCACCACCGCGCTGTGGCCCCACCGGGGGGAGGGGAGGATGCCGGTCGTCTGCACGAAAGTCCAAGTCATCGTCTCCATGTCGAAATCGTACATGTCGTTGAAGTTGGCGGAGCCGTTCTGCCCTCCGAAGATGAACATGCGGTTGTTGCGGTCCAGCGCGCAGGTCGAGTGGAAGGCGCGGGGGGCCGGGGGGGCGCCATGCTGAGGAGGCAGCGACCACCGTCCCGTCCTGCAGTCGAAGAGGAAGAGGTCGTTGAAGAAGCCTGCTCCTGCTCCACCGAAGAGGATCGCCACCTCTTCCTGCGACGTCTGTGTCATGGTGTGGCCGTGCCTTGGCGAGGGACGGACGTCGCCGCTCTGGAAGAGGATGCTCCAACGCATCTCCAACACGTTGAGCTCGTAGCAGTCGTTGAGGTTGCCCTGCTTCCCTGTCCCCCCGAACACAATGACCTTCACCTGGTCCGACAGCAGGGCTGTGTGGTAGGAGCGAGCCGGTGGCTTCGTGCCGAAGCAATCGACCTTCTCCCAGCACAAGTCCACCAGGTTCAGTTTCATCATGGCGTTGCAGTACTTGCTGCCTCTCCCCGATGACCCTCCGATCAGCAGCGCGTACGCTGAGTTGACCAGCGTCAGCGTGTGGCCCCTCCTTGCGCTGGGCTTCACCGCCTCCTCGCCCTCCTCTGCCGTGCCAGCAGCCCTCGTCACCTTCATCTGCAGCTTCTTCCATGCCGCGTGTGCGTTGTAGAGCATCTCTGACATGTTCTTCATCCTGTCGTTCTTGTTCTTCCCACCTGCCAGGTTCTCTGCGCTCTCCATCCCCTCTTGTATCATCATCGCCTTCTTCAACATCCCGAACTCGCTCATGGCCAGTCGCAGCCGTCGAGCTTTCCTTGTCACGATGTGAGCGTCATCCTGGTCGATGTAGGGCAGGTCGGTAAACTTTTCTTCAGCTCCATGTTCACGATCCTCCTCGTCCTCCATCGCGACTTCTTCCTCTTGATCGCATCCTCCACATCCGCGTAAGGGTTCTTCCGTGATTCTTGCCACTGTGACGTCTGCATGAACTCGATCGCGCTCTGTTCGGCGAGCAAGGAGGGGAAGGGACGGACAGGAGCAGAGGCCTTGAGCCTCTCCATCCTGTTCTTTGCGAATGCCATGTACTCATTCAGCACCGAGGGTCGTTGAATCTTCCCTTGTCCTCCACTCCCAGCATCCCCCGCATCCTGCTGCCTCCTCAGTCTCAGGATCGGACCAGAGGACCTCTGCAGACTCTCAGATCGAGTGAGAGGGAGAGGAGGAGGAGCTTGTCTCTTGATCAGGAACTTCTCCTCCTCCATGTTCCACCTCTTGCTGAGGCTATCCAGCATCCGCCGCTCCTCCCTCCGCAGCATTGTTCCCCCAACTGACCGGTCTTACCACCCCACCCTCACAATGTACTCATACCACCCCGGTCCCTGTCACTACTGGTAGCCATGGAATAAATTCCTCGACTCATACCGCACTGTGACAGGCAGCAGCGGGGGCAGCAGCGCCGGGGGGCGGCAATGGCAGAGATCCGACCGTCATAGCAGCGACATGGCTGATCCACCAGGAGCATCAAGCTCACTGGCCGCCGGGCAACTGCCGCCTGGCAGGTGAAGAGCACGAGGAAAGTTGTTGAGGCCAATTTCTGATCAGGGGAAAGTTTGTACTGCAAACAATAACAAGAAATGAGCTGAGTAAGGGGTTAGTGTCGAGGTCCTCATCATGCGCGAGCCCTGTCCAAGGCAACGAAGCGAAGCAACCAAGGAGCACGGCAGCTATCGACATAAGCAATATGTCGGGAGGACGTTTCGACGCCCATCGCGATGCTAAAAGATTACAACTGGGCAGGACGGAGAGGAGGGGGATCAGGCAGCGACGTCCTGAAGGATCTTGAGCTTCCGTTCACAGTCTTTGAGGCCCAGCCTGCGAGACGCCATCTCTTGTTGGACCTTACTCACGTCCTGCAGCCGCTCCTTGAGTTTCTTCCTCACCTCTGCCAACCTCCCTCGGAGGTGCTTCATGTAGCTCGCTGTCTCCGCCGGGCTCTCGCAGACCCTCCGTGACTCAGACGAGCCAAGAGCACTGGCCTCCGGGCCCGCACCCTCCGCTCGGGCCCTCTGAGCCCACCTCACTGCGCTCGGTTCCCACTCCTGCCCGCCAGACCTTTGGCGAGCCCGCTCCAGGAGCTCGAGCTGCTCGCTCCTCTTCTTACGGGCCTCGCACTTCTGGAGAGAGACGGAGATCTCCCGCGACTGACCGCGCAGGCCATGGATCGTCCTGATGAGCGCGCGGGTCTGCGAGGAGAAGGAGTCTAGATCGTTCTTCAGCTCGGTGAAGCTCGAGCTAGTGCGCATGCTCACGCACTCCCTGAATGCTTGCTTGTAACTGCACGACTTCTTGCCCACGAAGCCAAACATCATCTCTTGTATCGAGCCCGTGTCCCCGTCCCACGGCCGTTGCGTCGCCGTGAGCTCCTTCCTGTACCCGTCGCAGCTCACGGCACATGACTTCCCTCGGATCTCCATGACGAGGGTGAGGGAGGGGATCGCGATCTTTACCAGCGCGTACCCAGAGTCCCAGCAGACCTCCGTCTCTCCGAAGAGAACGTCGAAGCTCGACATGAGGTAGTGCCGGAACAGCACAGCCTGGTGAAGCTCGCATCTGCGTTGCAGCTCCTTGCATGATGCACTGAGCCGTCCGTACGCCCTCGCATCGGCGTGTCGCATGATGACCACTATGAGATCTTCTTGAATGTCCAGCAGCCCGCAGGAGCCCTCGTCTTCAACATGCTCGCCCTGATCCGGAGCAATCGCACAGGCCGCTCTAACCCTTTTACAGCTTGAGCTGAGCGCAGACAACAAACTAGATGAATCCATTTGACCTATTGTATCAGAGCATACACCGTTCGTGTTTCGCGCTGTTCTTTCTGCATGAACATTAACCTGAAGAAAAACTCAATTCGTTTTCCCATGGAGCATCCCCATTACAGGTAAACGTGTTATCTAGATTCAGACAAACAGCCTTTTCGGTATTCATTTTCCTCACTACTATCTCTGGCACAAAATCGCCTCTTGCTCATAACATGATTTCAAACTATCTCTTCCATTGTTGAGAACTCAGCACATCCAGAATCGCATTCCACGTGACATACTTTCTCCACCCAACATATCCTACCAAATCATCATCGGACCATCTGTGATCGGGCAACACCTCTCATCAACGCTCCAGGAACCAAGTCTTACATTACAGTCTCCAAGGTGCCTCTTCTAGCATCACAACACCTCTCGTCGCTCTCCCTCTCTCCTCAACATGACAATATTGTTATCCTACCCCATCCCAACATCGTCTTTGCATTTCACCGCGACCTCTACGGTATCTATCAATTTCCTATGACCTCGTACGAAAAATCTCTATCAGCTGATATTTTTCCTAGTACACTTCTGATACATGCTGAAGTCCTAGGTGACCATAGATTTGATACCTATTTTCATACAAAATGCTAAGACCTCTGGGTTGGCATGTCATCATACTAATTGTATTTTAAGATTTTGTTTTTAGAGTTGATTTTCTGAACATTGTACACATCGTATTACCAGAGAGAGAACTTAAAACTAAATACTTTTTAAAAATGATTTAATAAAAAAACAGGCAAAACCCCTTGTAACTGTCAATAACGTTTCTACGTACCAGGCCAGCTCCAGTGCGGTCCGGTCCCGCTGACGGACCGTACTACTGAGTCAGGGCATTCGCTGCCTCCTTCGTTTCCTAGTATTTTATTGAGGCGGGTTTGTAGGGTTTATCCTCCGCCTCCTTTGTTTACTCCGGTTTGCCCCTTCTTTTTCAGTCAATAAAAAGAGTCAGGGCCGGGGCGGCGGCCCATGAGATAGTCCTGAGACTATCTCAGGTTGGAAATCAGCGAGTCAAGTTGTCATATCGGATCACTGTGGCCACGGGCACGCGCTTCAAGTTGGGTGCCCGATACTATCATATGACGCCCATTCAAGTTTCATTGATTCGATCAAAGACCGTACATCTACTAGTCACTTGCCATGATAGTCGGCTGATCATCATCATCCGAGTGATACTCGGAGCTACTGAGTGATCACCCCGGCCCTGCCAACTGAGCCTCCGGGGAGTCATTGCGGCCCGGCTACCCGATCAGATGCTCTCGTCAGCTCTTAGCTGATCCATTGGAGTTTGATGGAGATGGTGCCCTTGTCGTCATTGCTCTGCTCAAAGACTCTCAGCTGCTTCGGAGTTCAGAGAGGAACGAGGGCCTCAGGTACCTCGCTGTGATGCCGAGCGCTCTCTGGCCTTGAGGTGACAGTCAGTCATGGAGAAGGAGAGGAACGACTCCGGGAGGAGGAGGAGGAGAAGGAGGAGGAGAAGGAGGAGGAGAAGGATGCCGGGACGAGGACGAGTAGGACGAGGATCGGCTACCATGGAAAGGAAATGCAGTGCATGTGCGAACGCCCATCCATCAGTCTCGCCAGCGGGATCTGAGGCCGACAGTGGACAGGTCACGCAAGAAGCAGAAGATGAAGGAGGAGGGAGGAGGGAGGAGGGAGGAGGGAGGAGGGAGGAGGGAGGAGGGAGGAGGGAGGAGGGAGGAGGGAGGAGGGAGGAGGGGGGAGGAGGGAGGAGGGAGGAGGGAGGAAAACGTTGAGAGGAAGGGGGAAGTAGGAGGTGCGGACGGGAGGACGCGCGCAGGACCTCCAAGGATGCGATCCTCTCGCCATTGAGGAACCTCGGAAAGTCCCGATCCCACACCTGGACAACTGCTGAGATCGCTACAACAGTCTGGATGCCCCCCTACCTCCACGCAAAGGACGTGGAAGGGAGCAGCGACGTTGCACCAGATCCCCTCGTAGTCCACCTGCCAGGTCCACTTTCACCTCTTCCGACATGGGCAGCAAGGGCAGGTACCGAGCCCGAGACCAGGGTAATCTCCATCCTCTGATTCCAGACTGGGTCTGAGCCGTCCCGTCAGGTCACAAGCTTCATGGTCAGCCAAGACTCGCCTCTCGCCTTCCAGCACGTCGCTGACTCCACGGGTCTTGATGTCCAGCTGTGGAAGGAGGAGAGGCAATTGCGGAGGGCCGAAAGGGGGGGGGGGGGGGAGGAAAGGCGCAGGAGGAGCAGGAGCAGGAGCAGGAGCAGGAGCAGGAGCAGGAGCAGGAGCAGGAGCAGGAGCAGGAGGAGCAAGAGAAGGAGCATTGAGGGGGGATTGAAGTCGTCAGGCGATGAGGAGTAGTAATCAGGGAGTTGAAAATCATTTACCATGAGTCACGGAGCAGCTGCTGTCGTTCCTCCTCGTCTTGTGGGAACTGATTCTTCAACGCCTCCCCCCAATTCCTTCAGCTGGAAGAGCAGGACAGCTCGGGGAACGCTCACCTTCAGCAGCCCACTCCTCCCTACTCCTCCCTCGTCCAGAGGATATTCGTTCCTCAGGGTGAGCTGAAAGACGCAGGAAGGCAGTTCAGAGGAATGCCCACGAAACTTGACAGAGGAGGGGAGAACACAGTGAAGTTTTGCTGGGAGGACCACGATGGGGAGCGGCGACGGACGAGAAGGAAACAGAAAGGGAGGAGGGCGGAGGAGAGGTGTGGTTGGGATGGAGAGGCAGGGAGGAGGGAGACGTACCTTGACATATGGATCAGCGTATCCTCCAAAGGCGGTGGAATCCATCCGAGGGAAGTTTTTACCCTGAGAGAGATGGTGAACAGGAGAAGGAGAGGAGAGAAGGGGGGGGGGGATTATTTACATCCAGCAGCTCCACCTCCAGGAAGCGAACTTCAAGATCTACCAGAAAGTAAGCTGCTTGATGCACCAGGCTGAGTGAGGAGATGTGAGAGGAGGAGCAGGAGAAGGAGCAGGAGAAGGAGAAGGAGAAGGAGCAGGAGAAGGAGCAGGAGAAGGAGCAGGAGGAAGACCTCTCCATCGTCGCTGGAGGACGAGGTATCGATTGAAGTCAGGCTCCTTCTCGAGTTGCGACAAGACAAACTTGCAGAAGGTTTGAGTTTCAACTTGCTCCAGCCAGCCAAGTCCTGACCTCCTCAGTGCACGGAGAATCTGGGAGCAGGGAGAGCTCTTGGATCTTCGACTCCATCATCTTCTTGGCTCTAGAGATGACCTGTGGAGGCAAGTCAGAGCTCCTCATGCTGACGTCTTGACCTGACCGTCTCATGCGCGAGGTCGAGGGCCTCGCCGATGCTTCTCTCCACTCTGATCACTGCCAGGCATCGCCTCACTCGAAGCTTCCCCGTCACTCTCGCCACCTCTCTTCAGGTCCTCCAGGTACTTTTCCGCCGCCTCCTTGTCCTGGCTGCTCTTCACGGGCTGCCGAGCTTCGATTGTTGCTGCGATCTGCACGAATGTCATAGTGGGGAGGAGACGGCAGCAAGGCCGAGACTTCAGGGGCAACGACTGCTTCAAACTACCAGCAGGTCAGTTCCTTCCAGCACCTCCCGCGCTTCACCTTGGAGGACGAGGCCGTGCTCAAGACCTGAGCAAAGGAAAAACCCTGGGGAGAAGGAGAATCAACAAGTTATCTTCGTCGGCAGACTGACTTGCCCAATACGACGGGTATGCGTTCTTCAAGCCTTCAAACTCTGACAGGACCCTTGAATCAAACCTTGCGCCAACGTCAAGCTCGTTGGATCCAGCTTAGCCCCACCTGTCGTCCTTGCTTGCCTTGTCAAGAGCGTTCTCAACAAAGGACTGAACTAGCAGCTGATCCTTGACCTCCTGCTCTCTAGGATTAGAGCAGTTCTCGCTCGATCTCTCCTAGCTCCAACACCTGCCTGCTACGAAGAACATACTCGATGGCCGTTTCCTGCAACAACGTCACCCCCGAACGTGTCAAAGAGATTCAAATCATTCAACCGATTTTTGCTGTCCCAACCAGATGACAACTTCTTCCTGCACAACTCGCGATCATCACTTTGGTAATCTCAACCCCAATTTCTCCTTTGACTGCCTCCTCCTCCTCCTCCTCCTCCTCCTCCTCCTCCTCCTCCCCTCCTCCCCTCCTACATCGTCTCCTCTTCCTCCCCACTTCTCCCTCACGAACCTTCGACATGCCATAGAAGCGAACGAGCATAGAGGATAACGCATATCTTATCAGCCAATGATTGCGAAGGGTGGAGAACGTGCTGGCAGACCAAGTCAATCACCTACGCTCTGCTCCTCTCCCCACCGATGGATTGTCACGTAACACCATCTTGCCCCGTAGAAGGGAGGAAACAGCCAGATGACGAGCAGAAGCTGAGGAAGACTCTTACAGCACGCTCTCGCCTCCAGCCTCCCGTCACCTTCACTTCATAGTAGACGGGCAGGCGGGACAGAAGAACCGAAGAGAATCTCTCCACCATTGAGAAGATGAAGTAGATCACCCAGAACGTCAGCCTGGCGACACAGGCGATGACTCGACAAGCAGCACGTCTCTCACCCACCATTGTCTGTCGTCGTCTCCGCCCTTGGTCTCGATGGCACGAATGGAGTTGAAGGATCCAACGACAAACACCTTGGCTCGACAGGGTTAACACAGTCCCCAGCAGCAGCTCACCTCACCAGGAAGTATCCGAGATATTCGCAGATCAGGCTGAAACCAGTTGCTTCGTTCACGCAGAAGACTTCAGAAGCTCCTTCCTCTCCGCACTGAATGTCACAAACAAGGCGTCAGGTCTCTTGGCCTAGCGATTCAATGACGATCGTCCTGCCTTGGGCAATTTCTTGACAGCCTCTGCCAGGGCACCCACGTTCTCGAACAGAACCATCTTGTACTTCTTCCACTGGAGGAGCATCAGTTGTGCGAGAGGCAGAGAGAGTCTCGGATCGCCTGCTTGTACCCGTCCTTGAGCTCGCACCTCGGCATCGGTACTGTTCAGGAGCAGCGTTCAGACAGCATGGAAGGAGTAAAGGAAGGCCGCACATCGAGCTTTGAGCTTGCACATGTGCGATGGTGTGCAACCTGATCCCATCTGCGATGATGCCGTCAGCGAGCAGCAGGAGCATGGGAGGAAGCATCATTCCTGATATTTGCACTGGATCTCCTCCCCAAACTCGTCGAGCTCGGGGCACGCTCCGATAGCCTGCACGTGTTGGCTAACACCTCTGAACGTCTCTCATCTGATGCGCGCTCTCTCACCTCACAGGGAAACTTGGAGCTCGTTGTGATGGACTTGATCAGCTGTACAGTATGACGACTGAGATAGGGGGGGGGGGGGGGGGGGCATCCAAACAATCTTAACCTTCTCACACATGTCCACACATCTGCGGAACTTGAAAGGACACAGGTCCTCGCAGAATCCTGAGGACAACTGGATCAACCTTGTTCACAGCACGTCCAACTCCTCTACCGTTGTCCTCCAGTGCCTCCTGCCACCCGGTACGTTTCAGCAACATATCATCCTCCTCATCCCACGCGATTGACCTTGGTATCGCCGAAGTCAAGGATGTGGTTGACTACCTCGTCGCAGAGGCTGCATCGAGCTTCTTTCCCGCGTCCTGCCATTGGAGACACCATCCCTCAGCCTCCTCCTGCACACTCTTCCAGCGCGAGGTTCACCGAGTATAGTCTGCCACAGAAGGGAAGTCATTCGTTTGTACCACTGGATGTCCGAGGCAAACTCGACGACCATGGCCACCACCATCTGCATCGTCACGATCATGTTGAAGCACGAAAACCATGGCGATCAGGAGATGAGAGATCGCTCTTTACCCATGGTGCGGGTATGGATGGCAGCACCGAGAATGCCCTAGATTGGATCAAACAACAAGGCAAGGACCGATAGCGTACTTATGAAGTCCGGACTGTATCGCCGACATCGCTGAAGAGAGCAAGTCAGCCATGACAACAAACATGGTCAATGACGGACTCTGAGCTGCCGCTAGAGAGGTCGAGGACGCCAGCTCTAACGCCCGGGCCGTCTGCAACCTGCAAACATAATCCATAGCAGTGAGCAGTGGCAAGGAGGGGGGGTGAGGAATCACCCCATGAGGAGCAGGAGAACGATCATCTCTCTTCCTGCTGTGGGCAAGTCAAGCATCAGGAGTCTCGAGACAGCATGGCGCGCCCTCTAGCGACCTGAAGTAGCCTTCCAAGTCGCCATCGCCATTGCGCAGCACCGGGCTCACTGGTTTCGGTCGGGGTCGTTTCTTTCAGCCCTCATACAGCACTTTGGCATGTACCCTCATACCTGCCCTCATACAGCCCGCTTGTTCCAGAATCAATGTCATAAAAATATTTAAATTGTATAAATTGGTACAATTGCAAAACTTGGTGGTATGATGAAAATAGTCAATTTTTGAGATGTACAACAGGGAAGTTTCTATATTGTTTTTGAAATGCAAGAGGGTGCAAAGAAATATAAATCGGTACAGAATAATTTCTAAAATATTTTATGATGACCAAATCTTATAACTGTGGTAGAGAGGGTATTTTACCGGTATTGGAGGGCAGCCTGGAGGATCCGAGGCACGTGCGGCATGCAGGGAGCGCGTGCGGGAGGAGGACGAGGAGCCGCCGCCTTGCTCGCGTGGGGGAGAGCCACAGCTGACAGCTTGCGAGGAACGGCCGTAGGAGGGCTAAGAGGAGCAGGCGGGTTGAGGAGGGGGGACTTGGGGCGAAGGGCAATGTCGGACTCGGGGCATGTGTCCTCGGTTACGTCAGTAGGGTTCAGGTTGAGCAGAAGCGGGAGGTTTTCAGGAGAGACCGACCCTCTCATGGAGCGATTCAATGCTTCCCTCCCCTATGACAAGCGCATGTGGAAGCAGGACCTGGAGGGCAGCATCGCGTACGCTGCTGCGCTGGGGAGGGCTGGGATCTTGAAAGATGACGAGGTGAAGAAGCTGCAGGAGGGGCTGAGGGCTGTCGGGAAGGAATGGGAGAGCGGGAAGTTCGAGGTGAAGGGAGGGGACGAAGATATCCACACGGCAAACGAGAGAAGGCTGACGGAAATCGTCGGCCCCGTGGGGGGCAAGTTGCACACAGGAAGGAGCAGGAACGACCAGGTGGTAACGGACGTTCGGCTGTGGCTGCGGGAGGAGGTGAGAGCGCTGATCTCCAACATGAAGAACCTCATCAGCGTCGCCACTGAGCGCGCAGAGAAGGAGATGGACCTGCTGCTGCCCGGCTACACCCACCTCCAGCGAGCTCAGCCTATCCGCTGGTCGCACTGGCTCCTGTGCTACGCATGGCAGTGGAAGAGGGACGTCGAGAGGCTGGAGGGGCTCCTCACTCGCGTTAACCTCCTCCCCTTGGGCGTCGGTGCTCTGTCCGGCCATCCGTTCGGGGTAGACCGCCATGCTCTTGCCAAGGACTTGGGGTTTGACGGCATCATTCCTAACAGTCTGGATGCGGTGAGACGACGTGGACTACTCTTGTACCCTTGCTAGTCATATTCTCTGCTATCACTCACTCTGAATCGATGTTTTCTTCCCTCTGAATCCATCTTCCTCTCACCTCCTCTTCCCTCCGCTACTACCTTCCTCGTCGTCCCTCCTCCTCCTTCTCGTTTCTTACCCAAGCTTCTCGTCCTTCCATCCATCGTTCTTCTCTATTTCTCTATTCTTTCTCGCGCTTGCATCTTGGCACTATCTCATGGCTGCTCAGGTTGGGGACCGAGATTTCATCCTGGAGTACTTGTTCGCCAGCAGCTTGATCATGGTCCACTTCAGCCGCTTCGCCGAGGACCTCATCCTCTACTCCTCCACCGAGTTCGGCTTCGTCTCGCTCGCCGACGCCTACAGCACGGGCTCCTCCCTCATGCCGCAGAAGAAGAATCCTGATGCTCTAGAGCTCCTGCGAGGCAAGTCGGGCAGGACCATCGGGCAGACCGTCGGGCTGCTGGTGACTGTCAAAGGGACGCCGTCGACGTACAACAAGGACCTGCAGGTAGAGGCGACGAGTCCTCGTTGCTGCTCTGACCCTTGGGCAGGAGGACAAGGAGCCCTTGTTTGACGCCGCCGACACCTTGGAGGCCTGCTCTCTCATTGCTAACGGAGTCCTGTCAACCCTGGTGACCAACAAGGACAAGATGCTCAAGGTATCCTTTTCCTCCCCCTCCCCTCCCTCCCTCCCTCCCTCCCTCCCTCCCTCCTCCCCCTCCAATCTGTCTTCAACTTCACCCCTGAATTGCCACGGCCCGCTCCGATGGATCGGAGATGGAGCTGCCAAAATTCACAACGGGGGAAGAGAATCGCTGGTTCGAAGCGGTCACTTCATAATTCAGTTGATGTTTCCGTCAAAACCCGAGCTATATGATCCCCTCCTTCACTTCCCTCCCCTTCCCTCCTTGTCCCCGCTATCCTCTCCTTTCCTGCTCTTCACCTCTACTCCCCTTGTCGTGGACCTCTTCACTCATGTTCCCTCGCCCACTCACTTGTGCATCAGGCTTTGGATCTCCCAATGCTCGCGACCGACCTGTCGGATCATCTTGTGCGCAAGGGAATTCCCTTCAGGGAGGCGCATCATGTCGCAGGGGCGGTAGTGAAGCTCGCAGAGGTGCCTCCTCCTCCTCCTCATCATCATCATCATCATCATCATCATCCCCGTCCTCCTCTTCGCTGACCAGCTCCTCCTCCAGGACCGTAAGTGCTCGCTCGATCAGCTCACGGTGGAGGACCTCAGAAAGATCCATCCATCCTTCGACGAGTCTGCCGCCAGGTACCCCAGCTGAGAGCCTTTTGAACTTACTGACCCCCCGCCAGCTCGGGCCCAGGTGGGATGTGGGACTACGAGGCAGCGGTGGAGCGACGGCAGACGGACGGAGGGACTTCGAGGCGAGCGGTGGGGAAGCAGATCGAGGAGCTCAAGGCCTGGTTGTCGCAGTGATGAGGTGAGAAACATCGAGGCAGCGAGCTGAGAAACGTGAGGGGAGGAGCTGGGAAAGCATGTCAAAAGCGAGGGACGTGACCACCCGTGCGCGTCTCTCGAAGACAAACATGCGATATCATCGCGTAGAGAGTGCAAGGGGCTCCAGTCTATGAGCCTCTTGTTAGTTTACATGCGCACACAGCCGCTCAATGCTCCTTCCTCTCCCTCTCCTCCCTCCCGCCCATCTGATAGATGTCGCTTCTTCGAATGCTGATGGCAATGCTGCAGGTGAAAGCTTTATTAAGTTAGTGAGTGATGTGAACCTAGTGAATGCTTATACCTGACCCGTTTGTTCACTCCTCCTCCTCTTCCTCCTCCTCCTCCTCCTCCTCCTCCTCCTCCTCCTCCTCCTCATGCTCTCTTACTCTCTTCCCCTTTGTCCTCTACCCTAGCCACTCCTCCAGCGCCTCGCGACCTCGTCTGCATCTCAGTATCCGAACTTCTCGTTCAAGGAAGTGCGCCCGTCGCCTGTATGGTCTCGTCACGGCGAGCGCAAGAGCAGGAGCATGCAGGACCAGTCTGTCCCATAGGAGGGACCCACGAGGCGTCTTCCTCCTCCACGTACTCCGGCATGCTCGACTTGGGCGGCTCAGCCATCTCCACCTACAGACAGTCTTGAGCTAGAGAGGAGACGGTCGAGCGCGACTACTACCGCCTGAGTCTCCTTCTTGTCTCCCTCCTTCGTCTTGGCTCGGTACCTGCGCCCACCCCGTCATTGCGCGACATTCAAGTACGGACAGGAAGAAGGGGAGGGGGGAGAAGGAGAATTATGTGGATGGAAGCGGGAAGTGAGAATGGAAAGGAGGCAGGAGAAGGGAGGAGAGGAAAGGGGAGGGGAGGGAGACCAGGAAGGGGAAGATGAAGAAAGAGGAGGAAGGGGAAAGGAAGTGGAAACGTACAGTCCTCCGCGCTGGAAGTCTACGAAGCTTGGGACCTGGAGAAGGGTAAGGGTCAGCAGAAGAGAGCAGGGCGGTTGAAGGAGAACCTCGGGGTTCTTGGTCGGCTCCTCGGCTTGCTGCTGCGGGCGAAGTTTCTTGGCAGGAGGGTCTTGAGCTTGAGGCTGCTCAGCCTCCTTTCTCTTCCCACCACTGCCGTTCTCCGTAGGCATCGCCGCGGCCTCCTCCCCGGAGGAGGGCGGGGCGTGAGGGGGCGGGGCTTCAGCAGTCTTGACATGAGAAGGAGGAGGAGGAGGAGGAGGTATTTTCTCCTCCTTGGCCTCTGCTGGAGCCTTTGCTGGGCTCTTCTTCTCTTCCTCGACCTTCTTCGCGCTGGAATCAACCGAGAGCGCGGGGACAGCAGCCGAGGGAGGGCGAGGAGCAGTGACGGTGGAAGATTTGAACTTGAATGCCTTCAAGAAAGTTTCAGCAGGAAAGAGGGAGAGAGGAGGCAGGGGAGGCGAAGGCAGGGGACGGGAGGAGGAGGAGGAGGAGGAGGAGGAAGAGAGGAGGAACAGCAGCAGAAGTAGCAGCAGGTCGAACAGCAGAAAGGAGTACCGAAGCTGCTGCCTTGAGGGGAGCGGAGATCGAGATGGCCGGAGTCAAGATCTTGACAAGCTTGTCTATCTTGACCGTCTCTGCCTCCAGCTCCTTGATCTTCCTGACCTTGCTCGCCCGCTCTGCCGCCTTCTGCTTCTTGTTCATGTCCTGCGAATGATCGTCATTGCCCGGCAAGTCTCTACAGGCTCCAGTGAGCACATGCAGGTAGGAGTCCAAACTGTCTTCTTCCTCCCCGGCCCCGTCGCCTTCTGCTTTCTCCGCGCGGCTCATCTCCTCCTACACCACGAGAGAAACGAACAGCGTGAGGGAAAGGAGGTAAAAACATGACGGAGAGAGCGAGAGAGGGAGAGGGAGAGGGAGGGAGGGAGGGAGGGAGGGAGGGAGGGAGGGAGGGAGGGAGGGAGGAAGATGGAGGAGGGGCGAGGTTTAGGGTAAAGGGGGAGGAGGGGGAGTTTGAGATCCTTGCCTTCAACTCCTTCAACTCCTTTTCGACGACGACTTTCCTCTCCTGCAAGGTCTAGAGGAAGGGAGTGAGTGAGTGGGGAGAGGAGAGATCAGAAAAACCTTGATGTTCTGAGGTTGCTCCTTGTTCGACAAGGATTTTTTCTTCAACTTCGTTCCTACCAGTTGACATCAGCAGCCCCCTCTCCTCCCCTCCCATCCCATCCCATCCCCTCTTCCTCCTCTCACTGTCGTAGAACTCATCGTCGTCCGAGTCCAAGTCTTCTTCGTCGCTCGAGTGCTTGGCATGGCGAGACGACTTCGTCTTGGAGGGATTTGAAATTCCTTTGAGTTGCCTCAAAAGCTCTGAAGAAAATTTCAGACTTCTCAGTCAAGACTGTTCAGCTCTGCAAATTCGAAAGACCTGAGAGGTTTTCTTCCATCGGCACCATGTCTTCTTCTATCTTCTTGATTCTTTCTTCTCCTCTTTGAATCGCATTCACCTGTTGGACAATATCATCATCGTCTCCATCATCATCATCATCATCATCATCATCATAATTATCATCATCTTCATCTTCATCTTCTTCATCATCATCTTCATCTTCTTCTTCATCATCATTTTCTTCTTCTTCTTGTTCTTGTTCATCATCATCATCATACGCATCTATCTGCTGTTTCAACCTGTCCCGCTGTCAGCTCATCGCCACCATCTTCTTTCTTTTTGATCTTCTTGATTTCGTCACGAATGTTGCTGATCTTCAGGAGTTTCTTCTCAAGTTTCTCAAGCACTTGCTCTTGTTTCTCTGTGAGCTGACCACTCTCCTTCAGCTGTCGCGCTTCTTCGATGACATCTGACGTCTCCTCCTCCTCCTCCTCCTCCGCATCATCCCCAAACCCCCTGGCAGAAACTCAATGTCATCTCAACTCTGTGCTGCTAACGTACCAAGATGCTCCTTCATCCTGCCGCTTGAACAGCGCGTGCGGTCCACCATCTTCAGTCAACTTAGGAAGCAACTTTGCCACTGGTTTCCTAGGAGGAGGAGGCTGTGAAGGTGCTTGTTCCTGCGGACGCTTCTTGTATCCCCACCCGCCTTCCACCGACTGCAGCAGAGTCAGAGCGCTATCGACTCTTCACTGCAAAACCTTGATGAGATGCTCAGGCCCATTGAAGATCAAGTGCCTACTTGACTAGCTCTCATGTCAGCTGACTGCAAAAAGATCCTCTGCATCGCACACACAAACTCACTTGTCCGAACTGCATCACGTCTCCTACCCCGATCTTGGCATACACCTGCGTCTTCAGCTGCTTCTTGTTGATCCTCGTCCCGTGAGTGCTCATGTCGTATATGAACGCTTCTCCATCTTCCTTGAGCTGGATCACAGCATGCTGTCGAGAGATGGAAGGGTGGTCCAGCACAACATCGCACACGTCTGCGTTCCTGCCGACCAGGAACGCGTCTTTGTTCTGCAAGTCGATCTTCTCAACAATGGTTCCGTTCTTCAGGACCTCGAGGAAGTAAGGAAACTTGTCTGCTGGTGGGACTCCCGCCCATGGCGGCTTCTCATAGCCCCCTGAACCTCCTGGTGCCTGTCCTGCTGCTGACTCCGAGGACGCTTCACCCTTCGGATGGGAGGGAGGTGGCGGCATGGCAAAGTGAGCTGTAGGGAGGGAGGGCTTCTTGAAGCCATCATCGTGATCCACGGTCTGGGTTGTGATGGGCTCCTGCCCTCCTCTCTCCCCTCCCGCTCCTTCTTCCCCTCCGTCTCCGCTCTCTCCTGCCATTTCCATCCTGGGTAAGTTGGGGGATGTGGGCTTTGGTATTTCACTTATTAGTATCATGTGACGCCTCAGTCACGCGCCGCGCCCGGCGCCGCGGGCCGCCGCCGGGACGGCGGCCCGGCGACTCCGAAGAGGAGGCCTTCCTAGCCGTCTTGCTAAGCCTGGTCCTCTCATGTCTGGATGCTTGCCGGGTTTCTGGCATCCTAGCATACAGAACGGTCTATCTCTCATATGCTCCTCACCCGGTGACCGTGCGGTGGCACTGAGCCTACGGTCCGGCGAACTTTGTGCCGCAGTGCAATGCCAGATTAAACTCGGTCTTGAGCAAAAACTGTCTTACTGCTGTACGGTAATTAAGGTCGTATGATATCTGGCATTACTTTGACACAGTACAAGTCCGAGTAACAGTAACAAACTTGTGCCACGGTGCTCCGTCACGCGCCGGGCGCGCCGGGCCCTCCGAGCCTGAGTTCAGACCGACGGCGGTCCGGAACTCCGGGACTCACAGGCTGTCCGAGCCCGGCTGACTCGGCGGCCGCCGGGAACTTTCAAGTTTATTCACCGTACCGTGCCACGGTTTTTTTACTCAAAAGTTAAGTTAAAAAAGCAGTTCGAGGACAATCGGTGGTCGCACAGCCTCAGGGCCGGCCAAACGGTCACGGCGAGAACTTTCCAGGTTCAGGCTGATGATTGTCCTTTTACTCAAAGTTAAGTTAAAAATCACTACTGAAAACTCACAACAAAAACTTCCCAACCTCATGCCCAGTTTTTTTTTTTCCGGTAAGTTGCCACCAGCCGTAACTTGAACTTAACTTTGAGTAGTAAAGACCGTGAGGGCCCAACCGTGCTGAAAGTGACGGGCAACTTCGGAAGTTTGACCTTCTAGGCTTGTTTCCGCCAGATGGTTGACCATCGTTGGTCAAAGTGTGGTCAAACTGGACTTGAGGTAGTCTAAGTGGTCAAACAGAAGTACTGTCTCGAAATCGATCCCTTTCGAGTATGCGAGTGCCAAACCCCAACGTTTCATCTGACATTTACACCGAGCGGTGCAGGGATCGTGTGGCTGCAATTCAAATGGGGGAGAAGGCACGTTCATTGTCGAGATCCAAGGATGAAGAGGGGGTGGTGAAGCGGGAGGTTAGCTTCCCCCCGAAAGGTAGGGTCTGAGCCTCGTCAAAAGGAGGGGTAGAGGTCACGATACCACTGGTCAAGTACCGTAGTACTGATTGGGAAGCAAAGATACAAGCTTGTTTAGAGGGGTGGGGCGGAAGGATAATAACAGTGAGCGTCGCCGCAAGCTGGACTTGCTCGCTGCTCCTTCATCCCTGCCAAGCTCGAGGTGACAGGAGACCATGGCTACCGATCTCGAGGACATCCAGAAGCCGGAATCGCTCGCTGCGATGGGCGGGAAGCTCCCCGTCATCCCCCTGAACCCCCGCGAGAAGCACACTCAGCCCATCGTAGACTTCAACCTGGAGGAGAACCTGCTCCAGTACGTGAGGCCCAGCCGATGGGTGGCCATCAATGTTGGAGACTTCCCACTGCTGAGATTCAACTGGGTCGTTTCCCTGTTAGCGTCAGTGATCCTGTGGGTGTTCATCATCGTAGTCTTGACGGCTCAAGACAACGCACAGGGAATCAACGTTGCTCTCCTTGAGTTCAACAACACGTGGCAACCTTGGATCACGCAGAACTTCACGTGGTTTTACATCTTCACACAAGATATTTGGTGCGTCTTCGTGGTGTACATCGCCTTCTCCAAGTACGGAAACATCAAGCTCGGGAAGGATGATGAGAAGCCCGCGTTCAGCGACTTCTCTTGGTTCGTCATGCTCTTTTGCAGTGGCATAGCCGTTGGCTTCTACTTCTATGGCGTGCGAGAGCCTCTTACTTATTACAGAGCTTCTTACTACAACGTCTTGTACAAGCCCGGGTGGTTGAACGACGACCAGCGAGCCCAGCAGGCGATCTTCATCACCCTCTACCATTGGGGCATCCACGCGTGGGCTTGCTACATCATCGTTGCGATGGTCCTCGGCTTTGTCGCCTTCCGATGGGATAGGCCGTTGACATGTGAGAACCTGTCGCACTTGTAGCGCTTTCATGTTATCCTGACAAGTTGTTTGTTGCAGTGCGTCAAGCTTTCTTCCCCCTCGTTGGGCATGTGATCGATGGCTTTGTTGGCGACATCATTGACTCTGTCGCCATGGCCTGTACCACCTTTGGTGTCTGCACCTCCCTTGGGTTTGGTGTCATGACGATGGTCCACGGCCTTCGGAGAATAGACTGCGGTGGAGGGATTGATTGCGTCAGCGACATTCCCACCAACGATGGCTCGCACACTGCCAGGGTTTGGCAAGGTAAGTTTGACATGCCGACAAGAACATTTGCTGGTGCATTGATGCTTTCAATAGTTGGAGCCATCTGGATCATCACCCTGATTGCGACAGTCTCGGTCGTCACGGGGCTCAACCACGGAATCAAGGCTCTCTCCCTGGTTGCCTTCGGTCTGGGCAACATGTTGCTCGTGATGCTCCTGTTGACCGACGACACCTGGTTCTTGTTGAACTCCTACGTGCAGTCTCTGGGTCACTACATCACTTACGTGATTCAAGTCGGGTTCGAGTGCGATACATGGCCTCAGCTCAACTTTGAGTTCAGAAACAACGGAGATAACAAGCTCTGGGACTCAGGCTCCAACAAGCTCTACGATACCGTGACCAAAGCCATCGGACGCCCTCTGACGGAACCCGACACTGCGTTTGGGTCACAAAGCTCCAATTGGATCGGATGGTGGACCATCTTCTACTGGGGCTGGTGGATCTCATGGGCCCCCTTTGTCGGCATGTTCGTTGCGACCATCTCGCGAGGCAGGACCTTGCGTCAGATCTTCATGGGAGCGATTGCAGCCCCTATCTTTTACAGCTTCTTCTTCTTAGTCGTCATGGGATCTCTCGGTATCAAGATGGAGAGGGTGGCCGAGCTTTCTCTTTTGGATCCAAAGACTACGAATTATGAGCAGATATGGAAGACGGGGATGGTCAACTGCACGGCGATGGGCTACAGTAAGTCTTGTTTCTGGACAGGTTGGTAAACGTTTGACATGCTTGCAGGCGATGGTCAGCCTCAGTCTGTTGCCGCCAGGAAGCTCGCTGAGGTTGGATACTATGCGCTTCCCTGCAGAAACCCCGACGATGTCTTTTTCGATGTTATGGAGCCGTATGGCAAAGGCATCGCAACGTATCTCAAGCTCATCTCCGTCATCGGCGTTGTCCTCTACTTCGTGACCTCGTCTGATTCAGGCTCTTACGTCGACGACATCCTCTCTGCAGGAGGTATGGCGCATCCTCCGGTCCTTCAGCGCGTCTACTGGGCCATCACAGAGGGAGCGTGCGCTACTGCCATCCTCTATGCGGGAGGATCGGATGCTCTCACAGCGCTGAGGGCCGTCTCCATCTGCTCTGGTCTCCCGCTCACCATCGCCATCTGCCTCATGTGCACGGCGTTGCTGAGAGCGTGCAAGTACGACATGATGGAAGAGGACATTCACTCGTCGACTCGCTTCATCGTCGGGCTCTTCGACTGGGCTGATGGCTTCCAACCAGCAGGCATCCCATCTGAGCTCGAGCCAGGGCTGCAGAGGCGGATCAGATCTCTCGTGATCTCTATCTTCGCTCCCTTCATCACCATCCACAAGGTCCACCACAAGTTCTACAACAACGTGGCGATCGTGCACACGGCTATCACAGGCATGCTCTTCATCACATGGATCGGTTGCATGATCGGAGAGGTCGGCACCACCAACGCTGCCTACGTGGGATGGACCATGTACATTTTCTTCGCCGCTCATCTGACCGCAACGAGGTTGCAAGCAAGGCTTGCTTACAAGGTCTACGGGTCAGCCTTCGAGGACTTCTTCGCCTGTCTCATCATGTACCCCTTTGTCATCTCTCAGCTCGACCTGCAGGTGGAGTCTCAGGTGGAGGTCCATGATGAGGATGCCCCTGCCCCGTACAGAGGCAAGCACGTCCCCGCCGACAAGCCTCACCGTGAAATGATGGACTACAATCATGTCATGGAGTTCCATGGCCCCGCAAAGCCTATTTCCTCACCCCAGGCGGTTTCTCCCCATTACTCGCCGTACTCGGGCCAGTACCCGTCCCAGTTTTCTTCCCGGCAACCCTCCCAGCAGGCTCCCTCGGGTGCGCCGGCGGTCCAGCTCCTCCCTCAGCCTGAGTTTCAGATGGGAGTGGCTCCTGAACAGTTTTCTATGGCGGTCGGCTCGGCTTAACGTATGAGATGTCCACTGATGACATCATGTACTAGTGCTTGTGTTATTATGTACTGTTTACAGTGATGGTCAACAGTACACTGATACTTGCAATTTATTCGTGCCCCTCTCACGCCTGTAACCTTCTCCCATAGCTTCCTGAGTTGATTCCTATACCACATCTCTCTCCCTGGCAGTCACGTTGACAACTCGGGAGCAGCCGCTGCCTCAGTCTAACTTCCTGCCTGCTCTGTCTGCTCTGCCCTCCTAGAACATTCTGCGGTTCACTCCGTACTTGTCATCTTCTCGACTCGCCTCGCCTCACTCCCCTTATCTCTCCTCTCTTCTTCTTATTCCTCGTGTTCGAGTCTCTTCTCATTTCACCGGTCACTTTTCCAGCCAGTCACCTGTCCCTATCCTTTCCTCGCTTGTCATTGAGCATCTGCCACATTGGTATGAGGCACTGGTAGACCTTTGCCACCTCTCAGGGCCTCCCAGGCACGCTATCGCGACCAACTGACGCGTCAGCCATCATGATGGCATATGCGAGAGAGCGGAAGGCCCAAGAGTTTTTGAGAGGAGCTATCAGACTCCGGAGAGTCACCGAGAGCCGGGTAGGAGCTAACGAGAGAGGGAGGAGCTACCAAAGACTTACTGGAAGGAAAGGACTCCGGGAGGTATCATGAAAGAGTCAGAGAAGGAGGAGCTAGCAGGAGGAGGAGGAGCTAGCAGGAGGAGGAGGAGCTAGCAGGAGGAGGAGGAGCTAGCAGGAGGAGGAGGAGGAGTATCTCAGTAAGGGAAAGGGGGGAGGAGCAATGAGATCTATAGCGAGTAAGAAGGTAGAAATGCTTCAAGCGCGTAGCATCGGAGGATCCCATAGCTGGCGAGCTACTTGATCCATCGCAACTACCTCAGCTCTCAGAAAGCCTGGCAAAATTTCGCCAGGACAGACTGAACGTTCCGAAAGCTGTGAGGTGCCTTCAAATGCACAGGCGAATGTGCCCGGTCGTATGAGCTTCAAAGGTCAACCCGACCAGGATGGCTTCAAACGTCGTGTGATGACTGTCACTGCGATGATGGGCACTCCAACACGCAAGCTGTTTGGAAACTGCAGAGACAAAGAAAACATTTATCGTGATGCCACGGATCAAGACCCATTGTTTGCAGGTGCCTTGAAGACGAATACGACCAGAAGCAAATGGCATGATAGCCGAGAAAGATGCAGAGAAACAAGATTCGGTCTCGATGTGCCATGAAGACGGTTGACAGTAGGGCTCGTGCTTCGTTTGATTTCGTAGCAGCCTTTGCCAATGTGATGAAGACATGAGCCTGATGGCTCGGTATTGCTCTGCCTCCAGTTCCTCTTCAGGTGAAGATGATGGGTCGGAAACCTGGTCGCTGTGATCTTCTCCTGAACCGCCTTCACCCTCCATGGGGAAGGGACATGGAGGAGGGTCCCGGAAACGTGCTAGGTATGATTCTGGACTACAGCTGGACCGCAGGCTGAGGGTCGCGGTCAACAGGAATGGAGCGAAAGACTGAGAATGGCTGAGAGAGATTTGGAATATCAGAGACTCAGAGTGATTGAAGCTGAGAGAGATTTGGAACATGAGGAAAAAAGAAAATGTGGGCCGAGACGGATTTAGCCGCGGAAAGAATGCAAACTCTCGTGTGGAAACAAAAACTCGAAAGCATGAAAACTTTCTGCATCGAGAAAGGTATTCAGATCCCGCCGCTCTACTTGTCACAAGCATTCTTCGATTTTCCAATTTTGAAAGTTCACTCACTGATCGCCGCGTGGCAAGGTGAGTAAAACATCCTCCGATCCGAAGTATGCTACTGTCTGGTTTCCGTACAGCGTTATATGAGGATGAGTCAAGTTTGTTGAAGTAGCCGGGTGTCCGATCTCTCCAGCCCGTTGCACAAATGCGTTCGCTAACAGTCTGAATCATTGTGACTCTCCTGATATCTCAAGTTTGTGATGCTATGATGACAAGGTTTCAGGTAGTAACCAGTAACTGTCCTAGTAGTGCGCCACTTGAACTCAGAGGCACTCGGTGAGGTAGTACCCCCCCGCAAGATGTAAAAAGGAGCTTGTCATTATTTGAGTTACAGAGAAGCTCCTGTTAGCTTGCATATACACGCTACGCTCTCTCCTCCCTGCCCCTGCGATGTTCCCGACTGCCTCGTCTGCTCCTTCCTCTCCTCCCAGACCTCCCCACACCTTCTCTTCCCCGGTGATCCCTCAGCCTCTCCATCGCCCCTCGCCCCGGGAGTGAGACAGGGCCGGTCGCGGCCTAAGTTGTACGGGAAGAGCCGGGCAGCGATCAGCAAGATGCTGAAGCTGGACAAGGTGAAGGCTCTTCTCGAGAGCACGTCGGGGCTAAGAGATCGGACGTACTGAGGATCAAGAGTAGGAAGCAAGATGATGGAGTAACATCTCCTGCCCGTGGCCGACATTAGGGTCCCCGTGACTCTGTGAGATCATGCGGCTCGCCGATGACTCGATGATGAGCGTCCGCCCGGCGGCATCATCATCCGATGATCGCCGGCGCCGGGATCCGATGATCCGGGCCCGGGGGCTGGCTGGACTCAGACAGGCTCAGTCACTCGTGCGCCGATCGGACAGTCCGATCACTTGAGTGAGTTGAACATTATTAGTCAAACTCATCAGGCAGAGGCTGAGGCGAACAAGATTATGGAGGACGGGGATACAAAAGGAAGGCTGGGAGGGCGAGAGTGATGGAGAGGAGAGGAGAGGAGAGGAGAGGAGAGGAGAGGAGAGGAGAGGAGAGGAGGAGGAGAGGAGGAAGGAGAGGAGAGGAGAGGAGAGGAGAGGAGAGGAGAGGAGAGGAGAGGAGAGGAGAGGAGAGG